ATGTGAGTACTCAGTTTCCACCTGTGTCCCCTTGTTCGCGTCCCACCAGTGTTGAATAGTTTATCCTTGTTTACCCGGTCGATTCCTCTGAGGATTTTGTAGGTTGTGATCATGTCTCCCCTTACTCTTCTGTCTTCCAGTGTCGTAAGGTGCATTTCCCGCAGCCTTTCCTCGTAACTCATGACTCTTAGTTCTGGGACTAGTCTAGTGGCATACCTTTGGACTTTTTCCAGCTTCGTCTTGTGCTTTACAAGGTACGGGCTCCATGCTGGGGCCGCATACTCCAGGATTGGTCTTACATATGTGGTGTACAAGATTCTGAATGATTCCTTACACAAGTTCCTGAACGCTATTCTGATGTTAGCCAGCCTCGCATATGCCGCAGACGTTATTCTTTTTATGTGGGCTTCAGGAGACAGGTTTGGTGTGATATCAACTGTGTGTGTGTGTGTGTGTGTGTGTGTGTGTGTGTACTTACCTAATTGTACTTACCTAATTGTGCTTGCGGGGGTTGAGCTCTGGCTCTTTGGTCCCGCCTCTCAACCGTCAATCAACTGGTGTACAGATTCCTGAGCCTATTGGGCTCTATCATATCTACATTTGAAACTGTGAATGGAGTCAGCCTCCACCACATCACTTCCTAATGCATTCCATTTGCTAACTACTCTGACACTGAAAAAGTTCTTTCTAACGTCTCTGTGGCTCATTTGGGTACTCAGCTTCCACCTGTGTCCCCTTGTTCGCGTCCCACCAGTGTTGAAAAGTTCGTCCTTGTTTACCCGGTCGATACCCCTGAGGATTTTGTAGGTTGTGATCATGTCCCCCCTTACTCTTCTGTCTTCCAGTGTCGTGAGGTGCATTTCCCGCAGCCTTTCCTCATAACTCATGCCTCTTAGTTCTGGGACTAGTCTAGTAGCATACCTTTGGACTTTTTCCAGCTTCGTCTTGTGCTTGACAAGGTACGGGCTCCATGCTGGGGCCGCATACTCCAGGATTGGTCTTACATATGTGGTGTACAAGATTCTGAATGATTCCTTACACAGGTTCCTGAACGCCGTTCTGATGTTAGCCAGCCTCGCATATGCCGCAGACGTTATTCTCTTTATGTGGGCTTCAGGAGACAGGTTTGGTGTGATATCAACTCCTAGATCTTTCTCTCTGTCTGTTTCATTAAGTACTTCATCTCCTATTCTGTATCCTGTGCCTGGCCTCCTGTTTCCACTGCCTAGTTTCATTACTTTGCATTTACTCGGGTTGAACTTCAACAGCCATTTGTTGGACCATTCACTCAGTCTATCCAGGTCATCTTGTAGCCTCCTACTATCATCCTCTGTTTCAATCCTCCTCATAATTTTTGCATCGTCGGCAAACATTGAGAGGAACGAATCTATACCCTCTGGGAGATCATTTACATATACCAGAAACAGTATAGGTCCAAGGACTGACCCCTGCGGGACTCCACTTGTGACGTCTCGCCAATCTGAGACCTCACCCCTCACACAGACTCGTTGTCTCCTGTTGCTTAGGTATTCCTCTATCCACCGGAGTACCTTCCCTCTCACTCCAGCCTGCATCTCCAACTTTCGCACTAGCCTCTTGTGGGGCACTGTATCAAAGGCTTTCTGACAATCCAAAAATATGCAGTCTGCCCACCCTTCTCTTTCTTGCCTTATTTTTGTTGCCTGGTCGTAGAATTCAAGTAACCCTGTGAGGCAGGACCTGCCATCCCTGAACCCATGTTGATGCTGTGTTACAAAGTTCCTTCGCTCCAGATGCTCCACTAGTTTTTTTCGCACAATCTTCTCCATCAGCTTGCATGGTATGCAGGTTAGGGACACTGGCCTGTAGTTCAGTGCCTCCTGTCTATCCCCTTTCTTGTATATCGGGACTACGTTAGCTGCTTTCCAAGTATCTGGCAGTTCCCCTGTTGCCAGTGATTTGTTATACACTATGGAGAGTGGTAGGCTCAGTTCTCTTGCTCCTTCCTTTAGAACCCAAGGGGAGATTCCATCTGGGCCTATAGCCTTCGTCACGTCCAACTCTAGTAAACACTTCCTTACTTCCCCACTGGTAATCTCAAACTCTTCCAGTGGTTCCTGGTTAGCTATTCCCTCACTTACCTCTGGAATTTCTCCTTGTTCTAAGGTGAAGACCTCCTGGAATTTCTTATTCAATTCCTCACACACTTCCTTGTCATTTGTAGTGAATCCTTCCGCCCCTATCCTTAATCTCATAACCTGTTCCTTTACTGTTGTTTTTCTCCTAATGTGGCTATGCAACAATTTAGGCTGAGTCTTTGCCTTGCTTGCGATGTCATTTTCGTATTGTCTTTCTGCCTCTCTTCTCATCCTGACATATTCATTCCTGGCATTCTGGTATCTTTCTCTGCAGCGTGTATGTGTGTGTGTGTGTGTGTGTGTGTGTGTGTGTGTGTGTGTGTGTGTGTGTGTGTGTGTGTGTGTGTGTGTGTGTGTGTGTGTGTGTGTATGTGAACCTGTATGAAGTAAGGCAGTGTCTGGGATGCTCTCAGACGCAGGTTCGAATCCTCGTCACTGCCCTTGTGAATTTGTTCATGTATGTTTGTATGTATCAATATGATATCTGCATTTGTGAATGTGTATGTTGTTTGACTCCTGTTTAGATAGTAGTTTTTGTAACTATGTGCACCATAGTACAAACATTGACGTACTAAGCAATTAGATAGTAGAATTTGGTACTATTCACTTCATAGAGACTAAAAAAAATGAAGCTAAAAGACAATCTTAAATATTCCTAGGCCTAGTATAGCACACATATGTACTATATTAAGCCTCACATAGCGTGTATTAGGCCTAGGAAGGTTAGATCAGGTTAGTTTAGGTTGTCTTTGCAACTTAAATCATTTCCTTTTTGACCGATTTTAAAACCTTTTCCGGTTTGTCCATATTCAATAGTACAGATTTCTAATTTCAAATTGCGTTGTACATAGATATATATGTACTCTGGTCTCCATTGTTACCTATAAGTACTATCAAAACAGGAGGATGGGCTGAAATATGTATTTGTATGAATATGTATATTTGCATGTGTGATGAATGAACGTGTATATATATGTATATCTGCAAGTGTGATGAATGTATATATTGTCAGATAAATCCCATGCATTGCAGTGTAACTGGCTCTTCCACTCACCTTCCATATGTCTCCACACTGGAAGTCCACCTCTATGACAGCCAGGATGAGTCGTCCGACCTGCCTCACGCTGCACAACCGGCACCACCCACTACCTGGTACGGCTCTCCAGCAGGCAGGGGCGCCTCCGCTAGCTACCCGCCAAACACACACCGAAACTACGACGTTGGTACAACGTTCGAACAAGGTTTAACACCTCCTAACCAGTTATAACAACCAATATAGCAAGTTGTAACAACGTTCTAATATGTCATAAACACGTTAAGCCAAGATGTAACAACTTTATTAGAAGTTGTAATAAGCGGAAAATAGAGACAGTTTCGGTTTGTGTTTCCAGGGTAGCAGTTAGCCTCCACAAACAAGCAGTTCGCCACCTTCAACTAGCAGTTATACAGCCTCTACCCATCTGTACCATCAGCCGCTTGTTACTCCTCACACTTACACCGGAAGTGACGTCATCAACACCGGGGTATAAATAGAGCCCCGCTACCCAGGGAAGCCTAAAAAAACTACGGGCTCACCATAGCCCGTGCTGCTTGGAACTCTTTGTTCCGGGTAGCGCATCTTAAACAACAACAACCAGGGAAGCCAGAGGTCACGACCTCTCCGTAGGGTGCAGTCGCACCTCCACAGATCTCCAGTATCAGCTCTTGATACTGGTAATGGCTCCAAAGGGCCACCACTTACGGGCTATTCATGCCCGTGCCACCTTTTGGGTGGCTTAATCTTCATCACCACCATCATCATCCAGGGAAGCCAGTCTCTCCGTGGTGCTCTTAGGGTCATCATAGCTTCTCTCACCCGTCGCATAGCTTCTCTCACCCGTCGCATAGCTTCTCTCACCCGTCGCATAGCTTCTCTCACCCGTCGCATAGCTTCTCTCACCCGTCGCATAGCTTCTCTCACCCGTCATCTACTACCAGCCTACGTCGGGTGTCGGATGCTGTGGTGGTATGGTGGATGACTTCAGCTTACCAGTATATATTATTACATTGTGTTCATCGCGCATTTTATTAATGTTACGATTTCATATTCCCTTGTTTCAGGTGTGAATGACATGATCGCCAAGTGTTCTCAGGGACCATTTTTGTTCATTAATATTAAATTGTTTTATTTATTTATCTGATGATTTTTTTTTTTCCCTGCAACTTACACACTGCATGGACCAAAGATGAGAGTGTGTGTGAGGATATTTAAAAGATAACAACGAATTGAAGCTTACAAACGGATAGGAGAGGGGGGGGGGAGGAGAACAGTGTGTGTGTGTGTGTGTGTGTGTGTGTGTGTGTGTTTGTGTGTGTGTGTGTGTGTGTGTGTGTGTGTGTGTGTGTGTGTGTGTATAGCCACATATTTCACCATACTGACCAAATGTCAACTATAAAGCATAGCAAATAATAATAATAATAATAAAAAATCATTTGAAAAGAAGATGGCTTGCTCATAAAACGGGTCTCCTGAGTTTTAATTAAGTTTCCTCGCATCTTGAAAGGAACAACGCTCGAAACTTTCAGATTTTGTCATTTTTCACAGATTTTTATTTTTTTTTCTAGTCTTCCGTTATTTCGTGTCTATTCAATTTACATAAAATAATTAAAATTTTGTTAATTTTTTAATCAGGCACGACGTATATTACCTAATATATACATACGTTTCGAAAATAATATTCCATCACCAGTGTCAAAAAAAAATATATTAAATATACCCACAAAAAAACTTTGCTAAGTGATATAAAAGACATAGCAACCAAGGAATAAACGAAGACTATTGAGGTCTTGAACTCGATCCCCTTTTAGCAATTTGAATCGATTCCAAATCTAGTCTTACAAGAATCACGTGTCACACAGTGATATTGGTGACTGTGAAACGGTGACTCGTGGTTCTACAGTGAACACATTGCGGAGGTTGCTACTTGCCTGAGGGGTAGAGTCCTGGGGGTAGAGTCCTGGGGGTAGAGTCCTGGGGTAGAGTCCTGGGGTAGAGTCCTGGGGGGTAGAGTCCTGGGGGTAGAGTCCTGGGGGTAGAGTCCTGGGGAGAGTCCTGGGGTAGAGTCCTGGGGTAGAGTCCTGGGGGTAGAGTCCTGGGGGAGAGTCCTGGGGGAGAGTCCTGGGGTAGAGTCCTGGGGGGTAGAGTCCTGGGGGTAGAGTCCTGGGGGAGAGTCCTGGGGTAGAGTCCTGGGGTAGAGTCCTGGGGGTAGAGTCCTGGGGGTAGAGTCTTGGGGGGTAAAACGCCATAAGCATTTGCTAATTCATTCACGAAACCTGTACATCTTTCAACAATCATGGCCGCCGGTTTCGTTTACATTTATATAACCGTTTATGAGCTTGGGAACATCCCATGCATGGTTGAGGATAGATGTAAAGGTTTCGTAAGTGGACGTGTATAAATGCTTGACGAATCCTGGCCTTGCATATCAATTTTTGCCGATGATGCAAACCCAGTTTGAAAGAGTCGAGGCAGAAGAAGACTGCAACATATTCCAAGAAGGTCTAGATTGGCTTAAGAATCCGAGAACTGGCTAATGGAGTTCAATACCAACAAGTGTAAGGTGTTGTAGATAAGGCAAAGGTGACGGAGAACAAGCAGGGCGCTACACAATAAATATACAGGATGGGCTTTAGCTGCTTTAACAGGCTTTGTGAACACATGAAATTACCAACGTGAAACCAATTAAGTACAATGCAGCTCCGTACTTGTAGCCCGGACCTATAAAACAATATTAGGAAACTTTTAAAAGATAAAGAGGAATGCAACAAGGATCGTCTCACAGTCCCATAAGACTAGGAATGAAGATAGACTGAAGGAACTAGTATTAATGACACTAGAGAAGACACGAGAGGAACCAGATGATAGAGAAATGGCACACATGAGAACATGTTTCTAAAGAATAACAATCCAGTTCATGAGCAGAGAGAGAGACATTGAGATGTGAGAAAAATACTTGTTTCGTTGTAAGAGAATGGTGGATACGTGGGGGCCCAATGACTGAAACTCGATAATATAGGTACAAAAAGGAAAGGACAAATTGGTGATCACATACACACAAACACAAGAGCTAGAGCTCGATCCTGCAGGTACAAATAGGTATGTACAACTAGGTGAGTAAACACACACACACACCTTACGACACTGGAAGACAGAAGAGTAAGGGGAGACATGATCACTACCTACAAAATCCTCAGGGGAATCGACAGGGTTGACAAGGATAAACTATTCAACACTGGTGGTACGCGAACAAGGGGACACAGGTGGAAACTGAGTACCCACATGAGCCACAGGGACGCTAGAAAGAACTTTTCAGTGTCAGAGTAGTTAACTGATGGAATGCATTAGGGAGTGATGTGGTGGAGGCTGACTCCATGCACAGTTTCAAGTGTAGATATGATAGAGCCCAGTAGGCTCAGGAACCTGTACACCAGTTGATTGACAGTTGAGAGGCGGAACCAAAGAGTCAAAGCTCAACCTCCGCAAGCACAAATAGATGTGTTCAAATAGGTGAGAACACACACACACACACACACACACACACACACACACACACACACACACACACACACACACACACACACACACACACACACACACACACGCACATACACACACACACAAAAACAGAAATACAATTCCACACTGTGATGGAGAATGATCTCATTACACAACCTATCAATACACTGGTCGTATGCAAATCCTGCGGCTGTGATGTGAATACCTGTATGAGATCATTCATGATCCCTGAAGACTGCCATCCGCCTGTGACCCTCGTGTCATCCTCGTTTCAGAATAATAATCCGCTTCTGTTCTGGACAGCTTTATGTACTAAAGCAACTTGTCCTTTCACATAGCATGTCGTATTCTTTACGTAATCGACCAATCCGTTAAATTGAGAATTATTGGTCAAAATTAATGTACCGTTTTCCGAGCATCTCGATGGGTTAAGTGGGTTGATGGGGTTTGAACGTTTCCCGGTTGACAAAACCGTTGTATATTTTACGGAGCAGCGAATGGGGAGAACTGGCTTGTCAGTGATGCAAGCGAGAAAATAACAGGGACGATATGGAGAATTACGGTGACCTTCACTCCCTGGTTTGCTTAGGTAAAGTGAAGTGAAGTTTGGTTAGGTGAGGTTAGGTTAGGTTACTTAGAGAATTATAAATCTTACTTTTTCGGTCATATTTAATAATATATTATATATATATATATATATATATATATATATATATATATATATATATATATTTGTTCCTCGATCCCGGCAGAAAGTTTAAAGTAATTCTGGGGACCAGTTTCATTAGGGTTATTCTTTCAGCGGGGCTCAAGACACTCTCCTCGGGGAAGTCTCTCTGTGTGTTCTTTTATTATCGTTCGTATTTTACAAAGCTGATCTGTTTCTGCGGAATACCAATGGTATTAAATGAACAAATCCACAAGGGCCGTGACGAGGATTCGAACCTGTATCCGGGAGCATCCCAGACACTGCCTTAATCGACTGAGCTACGACAGGGTAAAAGGGTTGAAACCGAAGTTCTACTGAACTTACTGGATCCCGCAGCCTCTCCGAGGCACAAACCAGGATTTTTCACAACCCCCCCCCCTGCACTCGAGCTATGTCAATAGGCCGTTCTCCCTCTTCGCCCTTACATCATTACACACAGAAATCACACTATGCTCACACTCTGGGATGCTCCCGGACGCAGGTTCGAATCTTCGTTTTTGTTCATTTGAAGCATCACGTTAGTGTGATCTCTGTGTGTAACCAATGGTATTGGCCTGAAGATACAAATGTATCTCTCTCTCTCTCTCTCTCTCTCTCTCTCTCTCTCTCTCTCTCTCTCTCTCTCTCTCTCTCTCTCTCTCTCTCTCTCTCTCTTTTCTCTCTCTCTCTAACAACTCCACACCACAGAAGGATTCGAACCCAGACAGCCAGAAACACTGTGCACCTTGGCATACCTGGTTCCTTAACCACTCGACTACCGTGACTGTACAAAAGTCATTGGTAGCCGAGGCTATATCCCCATCGCCCCGACAGCACTTGGTGGTAAGCTTGGGGATAGATATTTCATCTAATCACCTCACTTTATGGGGCCACGTGAACAACACAAATGTGAACAAGCTTGAATGGCCCCCAAGCCAATATGCAACTGAAAACTCCACACCGACGGTCGACTTCACTGGCTGGGTCACTTTCGATACAGGACGCCGTCACAGTCTTTATAAGGTAATCAGAGATATTAATATCTGCCACACTTGCTCACCTTACTAGTTACTAGAGAACTTTTTATCATCGATGCACGATTGCTTACAGCCATTTCGTTGGCACAATTAAATAAAGCACTCCTTTTCCAGGGTCACAGTCAACACTCCACTTGCCTCATCACAGACAAAAATCCAAAGAAGCACTTGCTTGCTTACCAGGACCTCGGTCGTGTCTTCAATATCCTCTTCAACGGCTACTCCTTATGGATTCACACACACACCGAGTCGTTATCACTTCTGCGCTCACTGGTCGGGATCGTCACTCGGCTTCGACGGTCAGTACGCGTTGACCCACCAAGGTCCAAATGAAGGTACTTGCAGCTCTCTCCACTGAATCTGGTCTGCTATCCAGTCTCTTTTACTCTCAGCAGGGTCCTTCGTCGATGGTATTCGAACGACCTTTTATCCAGAAAGGTCCCCTTGGTTCCTCAATATAGTTAGTTATGTTGCCTCTCTCTCGTAGGCTCAACTCTCCACTTAAGATCTAAATCTGCCAATCCTGCGAGAGCCTAAGGTCACAACCTCCCCGTCTGAAGTCTAGCTGAACACAGAACTGGGCTTCACTCCCTGCGGCGAGCTCAGTACCCGCCGATGACGTCACATAAAGTTAGTCGCTAAATGGCTGAGCACCTGAGCACCCAAGAGTCATCTTATACCTTATATGAACGTGAGGCATGTGTCACTGCCCTTCACCAAGCCCCGGATGTGTCGCTGCCCTTCACTAAGTCCCGGATGTGTCGCTGCCCTTCACCAAGCCCCGGATGTGTCGCAGCCCGCCTGGCCGCCATTTTACTTAACAATCTGCCACAATTCACCCATTTACATTCAAATATTATGGAAGCTTGCGTATAAGACCCGTTCTTTCGTAATTTAAACTACAACTTGGGCCATCTGCGATCTTTCTAGGTGGGTAAATATGACTCTTGAGGCCGGAAAGGACTCTTATCAGACGGCGATTATAACTATGTCAACAAGGACTTTCTGTTTGGTAGTACCTATGAATAAATGGCAAATATGAAACCAAAGGGGGAACCAATTGATACATCATCTACCAACAAACCTAGGGACATGGCTAACCACCTGTCATTGATTATATGTTGGAGGCGGTCACTATTATACACTACTCTTTCTTGATAGAACAAATAGAACCGACCCTCGACAAACCTATTTGCGTCCTGTACCCCAGACTATTCACCCCTAAAAAGCTGGTGAGGCTAAGCTCAAGCGTCTGGCCTCCAGCCTCACACAGACAAATCTTCAGTTGGGAAAGAAGCTAAAGCATTTACTTCTCAAAGTTCATTAGACACTTTTATTGGTCGTGACGCGTGTCGATAAATGACGCAGTTTGACACCTCGATGCGCCTCAGTGAAGGAAAACATTATAGAGAAAATCACTCCTATCCCCTGCGAGCAACTCCCTGCAGGAGTCTCCTGTATAATGGGATCCATACGGTATACCCCTGTATGTAATAAAATAGAGCAAGACGCGATGGTGTCTTCACTGTATGACACTGGTGTCTTCACTGTATGACACTGTATGAGACTCTACCCTCCAGGGTAGAGTCTCTATAAGGGGTCAGAAGTCTCTTATAAGGGTCAGAAGCACCTCTCAGGCCACACACTGGTAGTTTATCAACCTTTACAGCGCCTGACATGATATAAGCAAGACGTCACTGAAAATCCAATACACCATTTGTAATGAATACAAAATCACTGACGTCTTAAGCTGAACGAACTCGGGATTATATATATTTTTAGTCGTCCAGACTATGGAATTCTGATGATGGATGAGACATGTCTTGTGGTTAGTTATCAATAGTGTTGTTAATAGGGTCTTGTAGTACAGTCGATTTCGTTCTCGGTTTGCAAGCGGAGGACACCGGATATGATTTCCGGACTTATATGTTTATAGAAATGGTTGGGCACGTTTCCGTTCACATAATGGCTCTGTTTACCTTTTGTGGGGTTGCATCCTGAGGAAGGTCAGTAGGGCGACGTCGGTATATATATATATATATATATATATATATATATATATATATATATATATATATATATATATATATATATATATATATATATATATAACTGAAAACTCACACCCCAGAAGTGACTCGAACCCATACTCCCAGGAGCAACGCATTATGTCCGGTCGTGATGGTCAAGTGGATTAAGGCGTCTTGTACATACCAGTTGCGTTGCTCCTGGGAGTATGGGTTCGAGTCACTTCTGGGGTGTGAGTTTTCAGTTGTATATAGTCCTGGGGACCATTCAGGCTTGTTCGCATATATATATATATATATATATATATATATATATATATATATATATATATATATATATATATAACTGAAAACTCACACCCCAGAAGTGACTCGAACCCATACTGCCAGGAGCAACGCAACTGGTATGTACAGGGACGCCTTAATCCGCTTGACCATCACGACCGGACATAAGGAAGTGATAGCCGAAGCTATTTGAACCACTTCCCCGCCGGCACTCAGATGGTAATCTTGGGCATAGCATTTTATCAAATCACCTCATTCTTTGGGGCACACGTGAGGAACACAAATGCAAACAAGCCTGTTTGCATTTCCGGTCCGCATTGCATTGCATTTGCATGTCCGGTCGTGATGGTCAAGCGGATTAAGGCGTCCCTGTACATACCAGTTGCGTTGCTCCTGGCAGTATGGGTTCGAGTCACTTCTGGGGTGTGAGTTTTCAGTTGTATATAGTCCTGGGGACCATTCAGGCTTGTTTGCATATATATATATATATATATATATATATATATATATATATATATATATATATATATATATATATATATATATATATATATATATATATATATATACATATATATATATGCAAACAAGCTTGAATGGTCCCCAGGACTATATGCGACTGAAAATTCCTCACCCAAGAAGGATTCGAACCCAGATAGCCAGGAGCGCTATGCACCTTGGCGTACCTGGTACCTTAACCACTAGACCAGCACGACTCTACAAAAATCTTGGTAGTCGTGAAAATATTTACCCAAGATCCGAGAGCGCTCGGTGGTCAACTTGGGCATAGATATTTCATCGAATCACTTCACTTTGTGGGGCCACGTGAGCAACACCGCTGCTGCCTGTTGCATCACATGGCAGCAGCACGCGTAGGTCCTGACCAAAGGTAATTAGTGCCACAGAACAAGAGTGCCATGTGAAGTGCCAGAGGCAGCTGATCAAAGCACCGCTGCACCTCACATCTATGGGAAATATTCCTACAACGCCTCGCTACAACGAATCCCCACATTGTTCCTACAGTGCCGTCTAGAGCTGGCACCATTGACTTGCTTGAGTGCCCTGAGTGGCAGCGCACCGTTTGCCTGTCTATCCGTCTAGGCACTGTTATACAGCAGGCCCGCGGCAGTTAGTGCCACCGGTGATGAGTTACGACCCTGGCACTCGTCCTGATATTAAGCCAGCAGCAGGAGATGGCAGGGAAATTATCTCTCGGCGCGGCGGGGCGGAGGTGAAATTATCCCTTCAAATTCACCGCTGGAGCACCACTGTCCCCCATGAAGGGTCAAGGCAGGCCCCGGGCGGGGGCTGTTGTGGGGGATTGGTTGGGGGAATGTTAGGGATTTGTGGTGGGCAATGTGAGCGACCAGCGGGGCCAGCGAGGGAGTATTGACCATTGTGAAAGATTAACGGATTGTTGGGGATTAAGTACGATTTTACGAAGATTTTGAGGGAATGTAGACTCAAGTAATTGTGACCTGTTCCCTTTGGTCATCAACGATTATTGGATATTACACGAAGAAAGGAATTGAGAGATTATCAGCCAGTAAGTGCGATTATTAAGGAGTATTGTGATCAATAGGAGAATTCTATGGACCACAATGGTTTACTGGGATTAATTATAATTTTGATAAACTGTGAGGCATCTAGACATATGTCGGCTCTAAGTGTCTAGCGAACACGGAACACTAGCGCAGTACACAAGGGTTTATACAATAATCCTCCCCACGATAACCATCAGTCATCATCCCACCCCTTCCATAATGCCTACAGTTCAACAAATGTTATTCCCACAACACAACCACCACAACCCCTTCCATTACTCCCACAACACAACCACCACAACTCCCTCCATTACTCCCACAACACAACCACCACAACTCCCTCCATTACTCCCACAACACAACCACCACAACTCCCTCCATTACTCCCACAACACAACCACCACAACTCCCTCCATTACTCCCACAACACAACCACCACAACCCCTTCCATTACTCCCACAACACAACCACCACAACTCCCTCCATTACTCCCACAACACAACCACCACAACTCCCTCCATTACTCCCACAACACAACCACCACAACTCCCTTCCATTACTCCCACAACACAACCACCACAACTCCCTCCATTACTCCCACAACACAACCACCACAACCCCTTCCATTACTCCCACAACACAACCACCACAACCCCTTCCATTACTCCCACAACACAACCACCACAACCCCTTCCATTACTCCCACAACACAACCACCACAACTCCCTCCATTACTCCCACAACACAACCACCACAACTCCCTCCATTACTCCCACAACACAACCACCACAACTCCCTTCCATTACTCCCACAACACAACCACCACAACTCCCTCCATTACTCCCACAACACAACCACCACAACTCCCTCCATTACTCCCACAACACAACCACCACAACTCCCTCCATTACTCCCACAACACAACCACCACAACTCCCTTCCATTACTCCCACAACACAACCACCACAACTCCCTCCATTACTCCCACAACACAACCACCACAACCCCTTCCATTACTCCCACAAGTTAGAATCCACATCTCTCTCTCACTCTTATATATTTAACACAATTAACTTTGATATTGCACACAGTAGCAGCACTTTCAGATCCACCATGGCTGTTCTTGTGAGGTGATCCACCATGACTGTTCTTGTGAGGTGATCCACCATGGCTGTTCTTGTGAGGTGATCCACCATGGCTGTTCTTGTGAGGTGATCCACCATGGCTGTTCTTGTGAGGTGATCCACCATGGCTGTTCTTGTGAGGTGATCCACGATGGGTGTTCTTGTGAGGTGATCCACCATGGCTGTTCTTGTGAGGTGATCCACGATGGGTGTTCTTGTGAGGTGATCCACCATGGCTGTTCTTGCGAAGTGATCCACCATGGCTGTTCTTGTGAGGTGATCCACCATGACTGTTCTTGTAATGTGATCCACCATGGCTGTTCATGTCATGTTATCCACCAATATCAACACCATCACCATTACTTGAATCTTCAGACATTATTTTGGCGTCCAATTAAAAACTCTGCAATTACACTGAATTCTACACCACAATAATACTGACCCAACTGTCCAGTACTATTGTTCCAGTACTAGAGGAACTATCACAGTCATCTCCATATACCCTCGTTACGATAGTTGTAACAACAGCTTATAATGACTCGTGGCGTCGCTGTAACAAATACACACACATATATGATCCCCCCGTCAAACAACTCCGAAGGAACGGCAGACTTTTGTTGATATTGTGATGTTGTGTAACGTGTTGCAGGTCGTATCTAATGGGGTCACGCTATTATAGGGGATTTAAAGGCTCTTGGGGAGATTTAGGTAAGCCTTTCATTAAAAGGGGGAGGGGTGGGGGGTGGGGGGGGGGTACAGTGAGAGCTGGCTAACCGGTTCCGCTTCCGGTTGACTGGAGCCGGAATACGGCTTGTGAATTATCTAAATACGGTTCACTTTGTGCTTTCTCCCGTCTGGAAGCCTGTTAGTCTCTCCTTTCCGTAAGGCGACTGCTAATGGACTTCTCCAGGAAGCAATCTACACCCGTTGCATAACTCCCTGGTGCGTATTTACTGCTAGGTGAACAGTGGCATCAGGTGAAATATGTAACTGTTCCACACAGGAATAGAACCCCGGAAGCCACGGTTGTGAGCCATTGCCCTAGACTACTGCGCTACAGAACCCATAACATATCCGGCGATGTTTCCTCGCCTGTGTTTGTGAGGGGTCGAGATTCAGTTCTTGGGTCCCGCCTCTTGAGTATTACTTCTCAGGAGCGGCTCCGTCTGAACCACGTGGAGTTGGATATATGTACACGTATATTCTAGTATATAGAGAGCATTTGTTTGGGAGGTTGAGCTTTAGCTCTAGCGCCGAGCTTTTGTGTGCTTCAACCTCCTTATAACGCGATCTTTTAAAATGGCCGAAAGATTACCAGATGACGTTCACAGCTCACAAATATGGGATGTTGAGTTTAGATGGTAACACTAGAGTTATCAGACATTAAGTTCAAGTTTAAGTAAGTTTATAATAAAATACGTCTCAAAATGATAGAGCAGCTGAGGCTATTTCTACACTCGTAATTATCAGATATCAGCTGGACAATGTTGATATTGGTGAATGTGAATGTCTTGATTAGTAGAAATCTTTAAGCCAAGGGATACTAGGATACTAGTATCCTAGTATCCTAGAGATACTAAGATACTAGTATCTCTTGGCTTAAAAATACCAGGATTCATGTTT